GCCCTGATTTTAGGGGAATTTTGGTATAAGTTTCATGGTGGTTTGAAGTTGTTTTGGATTTTTCCTGGATTTTTCGGATGAAAATTGGCAAAAAATCCAGATCTAGAATTTAGGGCTTGCATGCTCGTATGGTAGATTGGTTGTTGCTGAAACCTCTTGTGTTTGAGCCATTGTAAACCCCTGGGACTGTAGGAAGCAGTCCTGAATTTTTTTAGTCCTAAAACTTATTTTGGGAATTTTTTTCCTCCCATATTTTGCTGCCAATACATATTTTTCCTAGTTCATTTTGCTGTAACTCATGTCTAACCTTGTGGAAAAGGTGTTTGGGAGTTCAGCTGTTGTTGGAAGACTGTGGTGCTGGTGAGAAATTTTTTTTGGAGGGGCTATGATCAATGGACTCACACAAAGACGTCTGCATACCTACCTATGTTCTCCCAGGAAGCAATGACAATGTCGGAGGACAGATTACTACTATAAAACTTGATGGGACAAATTTTCTAGAATGGTCTCAATCAGCCAAGCTTACAATTGGTGGAAGAGGTATGCTCAGATTTATTACTAGTAAGGAAGCTAAGCCGAAGCCTGAAGATCCACACTATTCCAAGTGGGAGTAGGATAATCTGTTGGTGATGTCATGGCTTGTATGCTCTGTGCAGCAACACATCGCCCGTAACTATATGTTCCTTTCAACAGCTAAAGATATTTGGGACAGATTGACTACAACTTATTCTCAAGCGATAGGGGGAGAAATCAGTGGCCATGTATTTCTCCTCCTTACAATCAAATTGGGAAGAAATTGATCATCTTGAGGCTTTGGAATGGAAAGATCCCCTTGATGCCGAACAATATAGGAAGTACATTGAAAAAAATCGAGTTTTCGATTTTCTTGTCGGGTTGAATGCTGATTATGACTTCACTTGGCAACACATCCTTAGTGCTGATATTGTGTCATTCTCCAAAGCATATATTCTCTTGTATAGATTGAAGAGAGTAGGAAGAATGCTATGATGAAAGTGTCTGCAAGTGAGCACACAGCTCTTGTGGCCACAAAACCTAAGCAGAGTTTTGGTAAACATGAAGAGGTATTTTGTGAATACTGTAAGAAGCCAAAGCATACCAATGATAGATGCTGGAAACTAAATCCCCCACCTGAAACTTGAGAAGTTTAAATCTGGAAAGAAAGTAAATGCTCATGTTGCTACTGCAAGTCACGATTCTTAGACTCACATGCTTGAAGGAAATCCTCCTGCTCTGGCATCTACTATGACACCTCTGATGTGATGGAAAAATTGAGAGGCATCTTACTCCATCTTGAAAAGAGCAGGTTGCCTACATCTACTGGTTCAAATGCTTCTTCTAGTGCCTTTGCAAAATCAGGTACTGCACTTGGATGTCATGTCCCACCCTCTAGCTCTTGGATAATTGACACAGGAGCCGGTGATCATATGACTGGTATGCCTTCCTACTTTACCACTTATAGACTTTTTTTAGGGAAAGGTATGATTACCGTTGCCGATGGATCCCAGACCCCAATATCGGGTTTGGGTGAAGTTAAACTTACCAATAGCCTTTCTTTGAACTTTGTACTCCATGTTCCAAATTTCATAGAAATCTCTTATTGTTAGTTCTCTTACAAAGTCTCATATTGCTTTGTAACCTTTTTTCCATCTCATTGTATCTTTTAGGACTTGAGTATGGGGAAGACGATTGGCAGTGGACATGAAGCTGATGGAACAATTGAAATTGTGGCATCATCGTCTTGGACATGTGTCTTTTGGTTCCTTGAAGTTTTTGTTTCCTAGTTTGTTTGAGTCCTTGTCTRSTTYTRGTCTRCAATGTGAAGTYTRTYAACTATCAAAGCAATGTAGAACAACCTTTTTTGCAAGTAACAAAAGAAGTAATGTTGCTTTTCATTTAATACATATTGATGTTTGGGGACCTTATTCCATTCCATGTATGGGTGGCTACAAATATTTCATTCTCTTTGTTGATGACTACTCTAGGTATACTTGGTTGTACTTGATGAAGAGCCGAGATGAAGTTCCTTCAATTGTGAAAGGCTTCTTTAGTATGGTGGAGACACAGTTTGAGAAGAAGATTAAGATTATTAGATCGGACAATTCCAAGGAGTACTTTGAGAAGCACCTACAAACCTTCCTTGAAGAAAAAGGAGTGATTCACTAGAGTTCTTGCCCTCATACTCCCCAACAAAATGGGGTATTAGAGAGGAAAAACAGACATGTGATTGAAGTTGCCAGAGGCTTGTTATTCCAGATGCATGTTCCAACTCAGTTTTGGGGGGGTGCTGTTCAATCAATTGTATATCTTATTAACAGACTTCCCTCGCGGACTCTACACCTCCAGTCTCCTTATCAACTTTTTTTTCCTGATGAGGATACATTCCATCTTCCTCCCAAGGTTTTTGGGTGTGTTTTCTTGGGATATTCTTCAGTCCAAAAGGGGTATCATTGTTATGACCCTTGTTCTGGAAAAATGTATGTGTCCAAAGATGTCACATTCTTTGAGTCTACTCCCTTCTTCTCTGTCTCTTGTCCTTCTCTTCAGGGGGAGGATGTTAGTGAAGATCAGACTCCTTTTTGTATGCCAATTCTTGCAACTGGTGCTGTCAATCCTTTTTCTCCTCCTCCCTGTGGTCGTAGTAGTCCTCCTCCCGTGCCTCCTCCTATTCCTCGGTCTTGGCATCAGTGGTTCATTAGACGAAGAAAGAGGATGGCTCCAGAGATTGAATGTCCATTACAATTTGACCTCTCGGACTCGGATAATTTGGATTCTGAACCTCTTCCTATTTCTGATGCCTGTGTTGAATCTATTGTTGAGCCTCCTCTTGTAGATTCTGACCTCAACCTTCCTATTGCAATTGTAAAGCAAGACAGACATGTGCTAAGTATCCTATCTTAAACTGTCTCTTATGATACTTTGTCACCCTCTTATTGTTCCTATATCTCTTCTACTGCTTATGTTTTTATCTCTCACAATGTTACTGAGGCAGTGCAGTTCCCTCATTGGAAAGATGCTATGAACCAAGAAATGGAGGCACTCAAAAAAACCGGACTTGGGAAGTTGTTTCTCTTCTAGAAGGCAAAATTCCTGTTGGATGCAATTGGGTTTACACAGTGAAGTATAAAGCTGATGGTTCAATTGAAAGGTACAAAGCTCGATTTGTGGCAATAGGGTACACCCAGTCTTATGGCATTGATTACCAGGAAACATTTGTGCCAGTAGCCAAGATGAATTCAGTCTGAGTTTTCATATCTCTTGCTGCCCACTACTCTTGGCCCTTGTATCAAATGGATGTTAAGAACGCCTTCCTTAATGGAGACCTTCAGGAAGAAGTTTACATGGAACTTCCTCCAGGAGTGAACACCCCTGGGAGTGAAGGAAAGGTGTGTCATTTGAAGAACTCTGTTTATGGCCTTAAACAGTCCCCTCAAGCTTGGTTTGACAGATTTAGGAAAGTTGTCTTAAAAATTGGTTTCTCACAATCACAAGTTGACCATACCCTATTTATTAGGAGAGCAAATGGAAAAATAACTATATTGATAGTATATGTCGATGTTATTGTTATCACAGGGGATGATATCTTTGGGATTGCTGAACTGAAGTCTTTCCTTGCTATTGAGTTTGAAATTAAGGATCTCGGAAATCTTCGGTATTTCCTAGGGATTGAGGTAGCAAGGTCAAAGAGGGGCATTTATATTTCTCAGAGGAAATATGTCATTGATTTGCTTCAGGAGGTAGGAAAATTGGATTGTAAACCAGCTAAAACTCCAATTGATCCCAATCATAAGCTAGGAGTTGATGATAGAGATGTTCTTCCTGACAAAGGTGTGTATTAGAGACTTGTTGGTCGCCTTCTCTACTTGTGTCTGACTAGACCCCAGGTATATCATATGCTGTGAGTGTGGTCAGCCAATACATGCACAAGCCTAGATCATCTCATATGCAAGCAGTGAATAGAATACTTGCCTATTTGAATGTATGTCCAGGAAAGGGGATATTGTATTCTAATCATGGGCATATGAAGGTAGAGGCCTATTCTAATGCTGACTGGGCAGGTTCTATTGATGATAGGCGGTCTACTTCTGACTATTGTACTTTGGTGGGTGGTAATGTTGTATCTTGGAGAAGTAAGAAGCAATTAGTTGTGGCACATGGAGTCTCAGAATTGTTGTGGTTGAAGAACTTGTTGACAGAAATGGGAGTGCAATTTGATACTCCAATGACATTATATTGTGACAATCAAGCTGCCATAAACATAGCCCACAACCCTGTTCAACATGATCGTACAAAGCATATTGAGGTTGATCGACATTTCATTAGAGAAAGAGTTGCCAGTGGAGAGATTTGTTTACCTTATGTGAGGTCTGAAGACCAGTTGGCTGATTGTCTTACTAAAAGTGTTCCCAAATGAAAGCTCAATAACAATTTGAGCAAATTGGGCATGATAAATATCTATGCTCAGCTTGAGGGGGAGTGTTAAAAGTGTGAGGGCATTTCTGTCTTTTTGTGGTATTTTGTATTTGAGTGCTTATTCAAGGGAACCTTTGTAATTTTGCTTATGAATAAGAAATGAAAAGCCTCTTGGTGTGAACAGTGCCACACCAAGCACTTTTCTACACTTCCTTCTCTTTCTCCTTTTTCTTTTCTTCTCTCTTCAACATCTCTAAACTTTGCAACTAATATAAACTAAGATGAAGATTACAAGAATGCCCCCTAGTAGGGCAGCTGCTAGAATAAACCAATAAAAGAAATAAAAGGGGCTTTAGGCCCATAACAACTAAAGCCCAACAATAATAAAGTAAAGAAAGGGACAACTAGAGAGATGTCCGGCTCAATATCTCAACAGTTTCTAATAAATTTGATGTTGCTTGGGCCTTGCATTCTCTCTCTCTGATTTCATTTATTTTTTAAGCCTAACCTATTAGAATAAGCATTCTAGTTATTTTTCTTTTTCTTTTGCTAATCCTCAGCTTTGACAGGTCATGCAAAAGGTATTTGCATTGTTGCTGGCTGAGTTTCGGAAATTGGGGGCTACAATTGTCTTTGCGGACTTCTCAAAGATTATTATAGACACAGGAAAGACAGACTTGTCTGCAGCCAGAGCTTACTGTGACTGTATATTGAAAACTCTACAAACCAGGTCAGCGAAATCTAAGGATGTCCTCACATATCTCACTTTGTATTTTCCTTTGGTGAAGAATTCTTGTATTCTGTTTTACAGAGATCTTTTTGAGTGGATTGAATTTGAACCACTGCACTTCTGGCACTCACTGCTATTTATGGATCAGGTTTGTTCTGAAATTCTTTCTGCTTGTTTCCAATTATACTGATAGGATCTATGCTTTATTTATCTAACTTGCTTTTATATGACAGTATAACTACGGTGGCATTCAGGCCAGATCCCCTGCTGGAGGTTCTGTTAATATTTCGCATCCTTCTTATGATGCCATAGAATCAGAATCTCAAGTAGAAATTGTATCAAGCTGGAATATAGCTGAATATTTACCAAAGGAGACTCAGGTAGGTAACCATTGTACATGTTTGCTATCATTCCTACTAATTAATTAAGTACTTTTTTTTGCAAATAGAAACAAGATACAAATTGCTAAAATGAGAATTGCAGTTACATGGCTACGGTATTTGGCAGTTTTTTGGTTTCATTGATTACACTTTGATTCATGTGAACTACATATATCAACAGTTGATGTCCATATCTAGTTCTCCTAGTTCTGATTGTTTCAACCATCTTCTGAACTGCTGGGCAGGATCATTTTGTTTTGATTGTTTCTGAATTTATGTACAAGCCATGGAAATATGCACAAAAACAAGCTGAAATTAGTGCTGCTTCGATGGGTGGTGACTTGTGCACTCCATCAATCACCATTGCAGCAGCTGAGAACTTTGAATCACAAGTGACAGGATTTCTTAAAGAGCAGGTATTAAGAAGTTAACTATGACTTGTACATCTTTGCCATTGTTCCTCAATGCTGCAAGCTCTCCAATATATTTATTTCCCCATGTTTTACAGATCAGCTCTTACTTTACGGACAAGCTTCTTAGGATTGTTCGTGATACTGTTTTCCACTTCAGGGGGGTGAACAAATCTGAGAATGATGATGCATCTCATGGAGTACCTCAGGTGGTTGGTTCTGATATACATAAGGGGGATGCTGCATTGGAGTTCATTAAGCATGTCTGTGCTGCTCTTGCTCTTGATCATAATGTTCAGCATGATATTCTGGTAATACATCTAACTCTATATTTCATGATAATATCAAGGAGTCAATTCTCTTTTTTTCTCTATGAAATTCAGTTAAAGCACTGCCATTATACTTGTTTCTAGTTTATATGATATGTTTGAGGCATTGTTCTTTTTTATTTTTGATTGGTAATGGAATTACATAAAAGAGAGAAGTATAAAATATGTAAGGAGAAGGAAAGGAAACAAAAGGAACCATCAACATCAAATCCTAAACAAGGCCTAAACACCTTAGTTATAACTGAACCATGGGCTCTTTTCTGAAACCGAACTAGTACCACCGGTTTTTTGAATTTCCCCGAATCAAAATTGAACCAATACCACTGGTTCATTGGTTCTGGTTTTTGATCATTTTGGTTCTTTGGTTTTCAGTTTTTTAATATTTATACTATATATAATAAATAAATATACAAATATATTTATAATATTTTTATATTATAAATAATTAATAATATATTAATATATTATAAATACTTTAAATATAATATATTTATAATAAATTATATATTATAAATAAATGGTTATAAATATATACAAATATTTATATATATAATATATGATATATATTAAAAATACATTTAATATACATAAAAATATATACTGGTCGATTCAATTAACTGCTACTTTTTTCTAGGTTAATTGAAAGTTGAACTGGTCCTTCAGTTTTCCAAAAAATATCAAACCAAAACCGAACCGAACGGTTTGGTTAATTGCATTTTTCGGTTTGGTTCGGTTTTTTGGTTTCTCAGTTTTTTATGAGCATACCCACTTAGTCATACATAAGAAACCTAGATACTTGTATCAATACCCTAAAAGCAGATTATCATCATAATCTACACCTTGTCCCAGCTACATGGGGTTGGCTAGATGAATCCTGTTTTGCGATTCCATTTTGTTCAGTGCAGCACCATAAAAAATGGACATTCCAAAAGTAGATGCAAAACAAAAAACCCTAAGAAACCATCCCACCACTTGGACAAAGTTTGCCAAACACCTCAGAACCAACAATAAGAAAAAAACCTGCCCTTATACCTCAATCTACATGTCCAGTACCATCCTGAAATGAAACTACTTGTACATAGGATGTAACAAAATAATCATTGAAATAGTAGGGATATTCTAAAAGGCAATTTATTGGAAGTTTTTATTGAATTTTTTGATAGAGGGATCACCAATCAAGGAGTGAATTCTACCTTCATGACCTTGGTACCCAAAAATCTAGAAGCTTGTCACCCTAGAGAGTTTAGACCTATTAGCTTGGTTACCTTCATGGCCTTCAACACCCTTTGTTGAAGTGTTGGACCGTATCTCAGTGGGCAAAGGTGGTAGAAGTTGAATTGCTTGTAGAGTTGGATGCAACTTCCTTTTCCAATTGACTGAGGAGTAGAGCTATCCTCATTGGACCCTTTCTTGTTATTTCTAACATAACCAACATCAGCAAGGGTTAGAATATCAATATTCTTGATACCCAAAACTGGGTATTGGTGCATATTGATATGATCGATACTCTCTTTTTAATTTTTTTGTACTTTTTCTTATTTTATAATCATTAGAGGGTTGGAGTAGAGTCTTGGAATGTTTTAAATGTTTTAATAAACCTATGTATCGATGTTTCCAAGTTTATCTGGGTGCACCAATATGAATACGATTCGAGGCATATTGTATCAATAGTTTTTTACTCCTTGGGCATCAGATGGGGATGTAATTTCTAGCAAGAATCCCTAGTATGCTTGGGTTTCTTGCAAAAATCATAAATGAGCAAATTGATCCATAGAAACACTTTTGAGATGCACTTGCCTCCTACTATCTTCACTACTCACCAAGGGATATGCTTGGGACAATGTAATGTTATTGTTGGAGGGTATGTTTTGCTTGTAATGTTGTATTCAGGGTTGAGTCCTGTTTAAAATTCAAACACCCTGTTTGTTTCCACCAACTTCCTATATGYTTCTACATACTTGGTGCTTTCCTACACAACAGTTTCAAGTAAATCTCCTGCCATAAAGACTTTAGTGTGGAGTAGTATAATGCTTGATGTGGATAGAAAACAAATTACATGCAGCACCTCAAGTATACAACAATAAGCACAAGAAACACCAAGTTGAAAACAATAAAACAAGTTGGATTTTTAGGGATTTCAGACCTGAACCTGAAGTAAAATTCCTCCTGGAACAGTTTCGCTACAGTAACAATGGTAGCAAGCTAGAAGGTGCCAAAATGGGTTGGCTCCTCAAAACCGAATATCCCAATACTTGAAAACCTTAGCTGGGGCTGAGCTACAGCTCAAACAAGAGAGAAAGAACCAAAAAGACCACCGTAGAAACAATCCCCTTCTCCTTTATAAGGCTCATTGGCTTGCTGGACAAGCTAGCTAAAATCTTTACAGATAAACCCCTAGAATGTTTTTCTTTCACAAACAATTCCTTAAGAACAAAATTGACTTCAATCAAACCAACTCCCCAAAAGGTAACTTTTGTTACAAAAAGACCCAAGAGACCAAAACCCAACAGATGTACACCCAAATACCCCTGGCTAGAATCTGAATTATAAAATGACGAAAATACCCCTGGACCCAAATTGTCAACAAATCTACCCAAAAACAACAATTTGGGATCCTAATAAAACATGCAAAATAGAATAGATTCACACGTTTTCTCTTTTTTCTTCTTTTTTTTCCTTCTTTTTTTTGGCCTCATCATTCCTGTTGGGTTAAAAAGAGCTCGACCTTGTGCGAGTTGCAATTTTAGCAGCCTTGCACATGTCTCCATCTAGCTTCATAAACTCCTCTTCACTAATCCAAGAGTCTCAATTGTTGGTTTCCCTTTCCACTTGACCAAGAACCTAAAATAGGCCCCATTTCGAGTGTTGCTGACTTGGACATCTTCTACACCCTCTACTTGTTCAAACTCATTAGAACCCCTGGCTCTTTGTGCTTGTCCTTGCTCATCCTTTGTTGCTGGTTCTAGATCTCCATGGTAACCAAAGAGGTTTGCTACATTAAAAATGGGTGAAATGGACAAATCAATTGGTAGCTCAATTTCATATGCATTGTCACCAAACCATCTCAGCACTTGACATGGACCAATCTTTTTCTACTTCAACTTATGGTAAGTCCTAGCAGGAAACCTCTCAGGCCGCAAATAAACCATGACTAGATCGCCCTCATGAAACTCTTTCATCCGATGATTCTTATCCTTAGTTTCTTTATACCTTTGGTTGCTTTCTTTCATCTTTTCTCTTGAATGGATTCAGCTAAAGTTTCGGCATTATCACTCACTCGTCGCAACCCTATTATAGGAGCTAGATCAACAACACCTTTAGGTGATCGACCACACTCAACCTCAAAAAGGAGTCTTCCTTGTAGATCTATTAATTCAATCATTGAAGGCAAACTCAGCTTGTGGTAGGATAAGATCCCATTGCTTTAAGTAATCTCCAAGTAAACTCCTCAACAAGTTTCCCAAGCTTCAGTTAACCATTTCAGTTTGTCCATTTGTTTGTGGGTGAAATGTACTACTATATTGTAGGGTAGTACCCATATGCTTCCATAAAGTTCTCCAAAAGTGGCTAAGGAATCTTGTGTTATGATCTGATGTGATAGATCTTGGCAATCCATGCAACTGAACAACCTCTTTGAAAAATAAGTTAGCTACATGAGAAGCATCAGAAGCCTTTTGGCAACCAATAAAGTGGGCCATTTTAGAGAAACAACCAACCACAACAAAAATAGTCATTACCCCTAGCTGTTTTTGGCAACCCCAACACAAAATCCATAGTAATATCAGTCCATGGTTCTTCTGGTATGGGTAAAAGAGGATACAAACCTGTATTTTGATGCTTCCCCTTAGATGTTTGGCACGTGTGACACCTATCAACATAGTAGAACACAACCTTTTGTAGTCTCGGCCAAAAGTATCTTTTGGAGACCATTTCAAGTGTCTTCTTGCGGCCAAAATGTCCCTTGCAATGCAAATCAGCAATGAGTAACACCCTCAAATATCTTGATTGAATACACAACCCATTGCCCATGAATAAGTAACCATCATTCCACACAAACTTGGCTCAAATATCCTTGTCACCTGCTACATAGCTTCTGCAAATAGGGCCAAAATAAGGGTCATCTTGGCATTGGTCTTTGACATAGTTGTCAAGGCGACGCCTAGGCAGGGAGGCAACAAGGCGCCCTTGGAGGCTCGCCTTGCCTAGTTGCCAAGCAGTTTTATGCACTAGGTTATAAAATACTTTTATATATATATATATATATATATATATATATTTTGACATTATAATTATAAAATAGACATTATTAAACTAGAATATTCATTTTATGTGTTTATATACTAATTTCTTTTTATTATTTTCTTATTTTGTTAGGGTTTAATCAACACAAACATTGCTAACACCCATGGTTCAAAGTATCGATCCACCTGTGTGTTGGTAGAGGTGTATCGGTACTTATAACGATACTCCCCCTATTGATTAAACCCTAAAAAATTTCAAAACCTGAACCAATAAGCAAGGGAAGAACTTAAAATTTTGCCTAATCAACACATTTTCTTCTTCAATATCTTCTTCTTCTTCTTCCACTTTTTCTTTTCTTCTTTCCTATAACAAAAGTAGGGGTTCAGCCCCTATATTTTTTGAATTTTCTTTCCTTTGTTCTTTTTCTTTTCATAAAATGTTGATTTTCTAGATTTAAACATGAAATGTGTACTTCTCTTATGAAAATTATGAATAATTGTTAAGGAAAGATGGTTATGGAACCTAGGGAACTACCCTAGGATATATGGTTTTACTTAAAAAAAATCTATCTCCTAGGTGTCGCCTAGGTGACAAGGTCGCCTAGGTGCCTTGAAAATTATGGTCTTTGATGGAGCTGAATCTCACAACATTAGTGGACATTGTGGTCACCAAGGGAACTCTCCTACAGTTCTACTAAGTGCATCGGCTACCCTGTACAATGGCATGAAATTAAACATCAT